ACCAAAACAAATGATCTAATGATTCTTTCTCTTCGCAGCAAAATCTGAAGAGCTGGGAAGATTGTATCCCCCATGTAAATAACATTTTGAATCCGACGTCGTTTTGCGTATCAGTTCATAAACACTATGCCATGGAATCGGTACGTCAAAAATCTCTTCCTAACTATTTTGCAATCTATATGGGACGGCTGTTAATCCTTTGGTCCTTAAATTAAACTGGTATACTTTTTTATTTATCACAATTTTCTTTAACCAATTATGTCCTTTAATGGAGGGCCGACAGACAAGTTCCTTACTTTTCCCCCTTCCACTTTCCTCTTCCATTTTTGTGGTAATGCTGCAATTATTTGGCTGTAATTTTGGGTAGAGCAGAAATGTCCATATGATTTTGTTAGCTGCATGTGCGACATAACTCCACCAGTCCTACCTATGATGTCATTTATGAAGATTATAATTTTTTTCAAAAAATACAGTTTTTTTAATCAATTAGTATATTTGATTTTAACCACAATATTTGTTGCATTATTTGTTCTGTCGTTTCTGGAGGATTAAATTGAAATTGCAACCAACTTTCTATGGCTTGTTTTAGAAATAGTGATATTTGGGAGATGATTTCCTTTTCAAATAACTGAAAGTGAGAGGTTGTAATCTGAATAAAGGGAAAAAGGCCATTCTTGAACATGGGGTGAGACAATCTTACTAATTTGCTAGAGAACCAGTTCAGGTTTAAGTATAACTTCCATATGACTTACGCTTTTAGTGGTAGGTCTAAAGTTTTAATATTTAATAATTTCTGTCCTCCGAATTCATATTCATTACATAAATAGGCCCGTTTAATTTTGTCTGGCTTACGTTCCAAATAAAAATGAATATTTTTTAGGTAAACTGGTATAATACTAAAGAGTTAATCAGGGTGATTTTTCCACAAATAGACAGGTTTTTACCTTTCCATGGTAGCAAGAACTTATATGTTTACATATCTTGCATTACCCATCTCATATGTACAGTATCTCACAAAAGTGAGTACACCCCTCACATTTTTGTAAATATTTCAGTATATCTTTTCATGTGACAACACTGACGAAATGACACTTTGCTACAATGTAAAGCAGTGAGTGTAGAGCTTGTACAGTGGGGAGAACAAGTATTTGATACACTGACGATTTTGCAGGTTTTCCTACTTACAAAGCATGTAGAGGTCTGTAATTTTTTATCATAGGTACACTTCAGCTGTGAGAGACAGAATCTAAAACAAAAATCCAGAAAATCACATTGTATGATTTTTAAGTGATTAATTTGCATTTTATTGCATGACATAAGTATTTGATACATCAGAAAAGCAGAACTTAATATTTGGTACAGAAACCTTTGTTTGCAATTACAGAGATCATACGTTTCCTATAGGTCTTGACCAGGTTTGCACACACTGCAGCAGGGATTTTGGCCCACTCCTCCATACAGACCTTCTCCAGATCCTTCAGGTTTCGGGGCTGTCACTGGGCAATACGGACTTTCAGCTCCCTCCAAAGAATTTCTATTGGGTTCAGGTCTGGAGACTGGCTAGGCCACTCCAGGACCTTGAGATGCTTCTTACGGAGCCACTCCTTAGTTGCCCTGGCTGTGTGTTTCGGGTCGTTGTCATGCTGGAAGACCCAGCCACGACCCATCTTCAATGCTCTTACTGAGGGAAGGAGGTTGTTGGCCAAGATCTCGCGATACATGGCCCCATCCATCCTCCCCTCAATACGGTGCTGTCGTCCTGTCCCCTTTGCAGAAAAGCATCCCCAAAGAATGATGTTTCCACCTCCGTGATTCACGGTTGGGATGGTGTTCTTGGGGTTGTACTCATCCTTCTTCTTCCTCCAAACACGGCGAGTGGAGTTTAGACCAAAAAGCTCTACTTTTGTCTCATCAGACCACATGACCTTCTCCCATTCCTCCTCTGGATCATCCAGATGGTCATTGGCAAACTTCAGATGGGCCTGGACATGCGCTGGCTTGAGCAGGGGGACCTTGCGTGCGCTGCAGGATTTTAATCCATGATGGCGTAGTGTGTTACTAATGGTTTTCTTTGAGACTGTGGTCCCAGCTCTCTTCAGGTCATTGACCAGGTCCTGACGTGTAGTTCTGGGATGATCCCTTACCTTCCTCATGATCATTGATGCCCCGCGAGGTGAGATCTTGCATGGAGCCCCAGACCGAGGGTGATTGACCGTCATCTTGAACTTCTTCCATTTTCTAATAATTGCGCCAACAGTTGTTGCCTTCTCACCAAGCTGCTTGCCTATTGTCCTGTAGCCCATCCCAGCCTTGTGCAGGTCTACAATTTTATCCCTGATGTCCTTACACAGCTCTGTGGTCTTGGCCATTGTGGAGAGGTTGGAGTCTGTTTGATTGAGTGTGTGGACAGATGTCTTTTATACAGGTAGTGAGTTCAAACAGGTGCAGTTAATACAGGTAATGAGTGGAGAACAGGAGGGCTTCTTAAAGAAAAACTAACAGGTCTGTGAGAGCCGGAATTCTTACTGGTTGGTAGGTGATCAAATACTTATGTCATGCAATAAAATGCAAATTAATTACTTAAAAATCATACAATGTGATTTTCTGGATTTTTGTTTTAGATTCCGTCTCTTACAGTTGAAGTGTACCTATGATAAAAATGACAGACCTCTACAAGCTTTGTAAGTAGGAAAACCTGCAAAATCGGCAGTGTATCAAATACTTGTTCTCCCCACTGTATAACAGTGTACATTTACTGTCCCCTCAAAATAACACAACACACAGCCATTACTGTCTAAACCGCTGGCAACAAAAGTGAGTACACCCCTAAGTGAAAATGTCAAAATTGGGCCCAAAGTGTCAATATTTTGTGTGGCCATCATCATTTTCCAGCACTGCCTTAACCCTCTTTTGCATGGAGTTCACCAGAGCTTCACAGGTTGCCACTGGAGTCCTCTTCCACTCCTCCATGATGACATCACAGAGCTGGTGGATGTTAGAGACCTTGCACTCCTCCACCTTCCGTTTGAGGATGCCCCACAGATGCTCAATAGGGTTTAGGTCTGGAGACATGCTTGGCCAGTCCATCACCTTTACCCTCAGTTTCTTTAGCAAGGCAGTGGTCGTCTTGGAGGTGTGTTTGGGGTCATTATCATGTTGGAATACTGCCCTGCGGCCCAGTCTCCGAAGGGAGGGGATCATGCTCTGCTTCAGTATGTCACAGTAAATGTTGGCATTCATGGTTCCCTCACACTTGTCTTTGTACTCCTCACCTGGTTGCCGCCACACACGCTTGACACCATCTGAACCAAATACGTTTATCTTGGTCTCATCAGACCCCAGGACATGGTTACAGTAATCTATGTCCTTAGTCTGCTTGTCTTCAACAAACTGTTTGCGAGCTTTCTTGTGCATCATCTTTAGAAGAGGCTTCCTTCTGGGACGACAGCCATGCAGACCAATTTGATGCAGTGTGCGGCGTATGGTCAGGCTGACCCCCCACCCCTTCAACCTCTGCAGCAATGCTAGCAGCACTCATACGTCTATTTCCCAAAGACAACCTCTGGATATGATGCTGAGCACGTGCACTCAACTTCTTTGGTCGACCATGACGAGGCCTGTTCTGAGTGGAACCGGTCCTGTTAAACCGCTCTATGGTCTTGGCCACCGTGCTGCAGCTCAGTTTCAGGGTCTTGGCAATCTTCTTATAGCCCAGGCCATCTTTATGTAGAGCAACAATTCTTTTTTTCAGATCCTCAGAGAGTTCTTTGCCATGAGGTGCCATGTTGAACTTCCAGTGACCAGTATGAGGGAGTGTGAGAGCGATGACACCAAATTTAACACACCTGTTCCCCATTCACACCTGAGACACTAACAAGTCACATGACACCGGGGAGGGAAAATGGCTAATTGGGCCCAATTTGGACATTTTCACTTAGGGGTGTACTCACATTTGTTGCCAGTGGTTTAGACATTAATGGCTGTGTGTTGTGTTATTTTGAGGGGACAGCAAATTTACAATGTTATACAAGCTGTACACTCACTACTTTACATTGTAGCAAAGTGTCATTTCTTCAGTGTTGTCACATGAAAAGATATACTCAAATATTTACAAAAATACTGTATTCTATACTATCTATTGCATCTTAGACTATGCCACTCTGATAATGATAATGACATTGCTCATCCATATATTTATATATTCTTATTCCATTCCTTTACTTAGATTTGTGTGTATTAGGTTTTTGTTGTAGAACTGTTAGATATTACTTGCTAGATATTGCTGCAATGTCGGAACTAGAAGCACAAGCATTTCGCTACTCTCGCAAATAACATCTGCTAACCATGTGTATGTGACCAATAAATTAGATTAGATTAGATTTGATTTGAGAGAGAGCAGAAGGAGAAGGCTGATGCACTAGGCTCACAGAGTGTTCCCAAACAGCCCTAACGGCAGCCATCTTCAGTGGGATACAATAGCAAAGCCGTGATCTCTATACCAGGAAGGTGTGTTAAACCCCTTTGTTGAACCAGAGGAGTAGCTATCCTTATTTTTATTAACTCATAGCAGCTAGTTTTCTCCATGTTCTTTGATATGTGATAAAGTACCTTGTTAATGTTCCTCACTGTTTGGTCAGGTTGCGGTCAGACTCACTTTTGAGTGTCAGGACCATGCTTTTTGCTGATATCAGAGCCCACCCAGTATGTGTGTGTGGTTGAGAGCATGGTGTGTTTTTATTGTCACATACAACAGATAGGTGCAGTGAAATGTGTTGCTTTACATGGTCAGCCATAGTTGTACAGCACACCTGGAGTATATTAGGGTTAAGTGCCTTGCTCAAGGGCACATTTACAGATTTTTCACCTTGTCGGCTCAGGTATTCAAACTAGCGACCTTTTGTTTACTGGCCCAACGCTCTAACCGCTAGGTTACCTTTCGCCCTAGTGTGAGGTTGAGAATGTGTGGTCATGGTCAGGTTGTGGTCAGACTCACTCTTGACGGTCAGGACCATGCTCTTGCTGATGTCGGAGCCCACTCCGTTGGAGGCCTGACAGAGGTAGTAGCCCCGGTCCTCCTCCAGGACGTGACGAATCAGCAGGGAGCCGTTCCCCATGATCTGGATCCGACCGGTCAGAGGCACTGGGTGGTACTGCTGGGGGTTTCCTATACCTACAGAGGGGGTGAGTGGATTTCACTGATGATTCCACTATGATTATCAAGATCATATGCCACTATATTATAGTGGTTCTCAGTTGGTAGACGCACTGACTGTTGTAAATCACTTTGGATAAACACGTCTGCTAAATGGTATAGGATGTCTGAATGATTTAGGCTGATTTCAAACATGGCTAGATATACAGCAATGGTAAATGCTATAATTCGACAGGTGAGGATGGGTACCTTTGGCGTGCTTCCACATGACTTTGGGAGGGGGGTATCCATCCACGGAGCAGTTGAGGACCCCCGCCTTGCCGTAGATCCCATCCTGGTTATTGGGCTGGACCACAAACTGAGGAGGCACTAAGGGGAGGGGAGGGAGGAGATTAAACTTGGAGCCTGACGGTGGGTCTGTCTGTCTGTCTGTCAACTGGTCCTGTCTCACCTGTGACAGTGAGCTGTCTCTCAGAGCTGACGGTGGCGGCGTCGTTGCTAGCGATGCATGTGTAGTTGCCGTTGTGTTTGAGCGACACCTTGCCGATCTGCAGCGAGCTCATGTACTCCTTGGTCTCGATGTTGACGCCGGACGAGGGCACAATCTCCTGGCCATCCTTACGCCAAGTGATATGGATGGGCATGTCGCCAGACGACACCACACAGGCGATGTACATGAGCTTCCCAATGGAGGTGGGGGGGAAGTCAAAGGGTTGGATCAGAGGGGGCACTGTGAGACAGAATACAGGAGGGAGAGAGAGATAGAATAAGATGAGGGTAGAGACAGAAAGGGAGGAAAGCAGATACATGCATATGAGAGAGCGAGAGAGAGAGAGAGAGCGAGAGAGAGAGAGAGAGAGAGAGAGAGAGAGAGAGAGAGAGAGAGAGAGAGAGAGAGAGAGAGAAGAGAGAGAGAGGGAGAGTTCATGTTGAGTGATTCAGACTGGGTGGTGGGCTGTTTGGTAGTTTATGGTGAGTAACCTTCCCTGTGATCTCCAGTCAGTCTAATCCTGGAACCCAGCGTCTCCCCGGCTCCCCAGCCCTCTCCTCTCCTCTCCAGCCCATAATAGCTGCTCTAATTAGAGCCCAATCGGCAGGGGGAAGATTGGTGTTGCCATGGTGACCACAGTAGGAGTAGGGGGCAAGGAGTGTGTGTGTGTGTGTGTGTGTGTGTGTGTGTGTGTGGGGGGTGGGGGGGGGGGGGGGGGGGGTCTACGTAGAGCTGAGACATCTGGGGGATTTAATTTGGGCCTCGTTAAAATTAATCTAATTAAATCAGAGAAATGACGAGATGCACACAAACACACAAACACCAGATGACACACCTTTCAGTCTTCCTATGACAAGCACACATTCAACCTCATCAACACACACATTAAAACAGGCAACATACAAGCAATACAGTCTTGACCCTGTGCTCTGACACACACACACACATATATATATATATATATATATATATATATATATATATATATCCACACAATAGCACTCTTGCTTTGTGTAATTGCTGAGTGGTTGAGAGGGTGCAGTAGCCCACTCTGGCCCTTAATCAGAGGTTATTAGAGGTAACGCGTGCACTCTCTCTCTTTCGCTCTCTCACTCTCTCTTTCTCCCAAACATTCATTCAAACACAAACTAACTCACTCACAAGCATACTCAAATACACACACACTCAGTGACGTACACCCAATCTCCCTTCTCTCAATACACAGCACAGCTTCCAGTAACACAGACAGCCACAAGCATACAGAGACACTTGGACTACAACTGAACACACAAATAAACTACGACCCCACCCCACTTCCTGTAGAGTAAGTGACCTCTGACCTTTGACTTGGACATAGACGGTCTGGCTGATGAAGATCTGTGGTTGGATGAGCACGCTGCAGAGGTACGCCCCCTCGTCCAAGACCTTCTGGACATCACTTAGCTTCAGAGTACCATTCTCATACACCACCTAAGATTAAGATAAAGATTAGGATTAAGATTCCCTGACCATACTAGCACTTCAATAGTTGACATAGGGGCTTGATTTATACAGTTCTGCATCCCAAATGGCACCCTATTCCTAATATAGTACACTACTTTTGGCCAGGGTCCATAGGGCGCTGGTCAAAAGCACTGTGAAGGGAATACAGTGCAGTTTGGAACACAGTAAACTTTGCATCTGAGATATGACTATTTCTTCAATGGGTTGTTCATGTAGCATGATGCAAAGGTGATTGTTGTCGTTAGTTGGGTTTTTCTTGTTGCTCTTGTTTGTGTACAAAATTGATAAAAATTTGAAGAATAAAATGCACCCACCTGACGATGGTTGTCAGGCAGCAGAAGCCCCTCCTTGTACCACTTGATTGAGTAGTAGGGATAACCAATCACACGGCAGTTTATAAAGGTGTTCCTTCCAGCCACCGCCGTGATGTTACGCATATCCCTGATCCTGGGAGAACCTGAGAGAGAAAGATAGAGAGAGAAAGAGAAAAAGAAAGAGAGAGAGAGAGAGAGAGAGAGAGAGAGAGAGAGAGAGAGAGAGAGAGAGAGAGAGAGAGAGAGGAGAGAGAGGAGAGCGAGAGAGAGAAGAGAGAGAGGAGAGCGAGAGAGAGAAGAGAGATAGGAGAGAGATATGGGGTAGTCAGAGGGTAGTGAAGAGAAGGAGGGGGGAAAGAGGGGAGGAAAGGAGGGAGGGAGGAAGGGAGGGAGGGTAGGGTGTATGGATGGATATGGGGTTAGAATGCCCTGTCCCATTTCGATCTAATCTGTGTATGTGTTTGTGTCTGTGTGTGTGTGCATGTGCATGCAACTGTGTGTGTGTCTATTTCCAGTGTTATGGTGAGTGTATGAATAAAACCTACATAATTATTGTAATGCATTTATGTTGCAATATCCTGACTATCTCAGTGCATCCTAGGTGATTTTAGCTTCTAGATTCATTACATTACAGTCTCCTCATATACGTATAGTACCAGTCAAAAGTTTGGACACACCTACTCATTCCAGGGTTTTTCTTTATGTTTACTATTTTCTACATTGTAGAATAATAGTGAAGACATCAAAACCATGAAATAACACATACTGTATGGAATCATGTAGTAACCAAAAAAGAATTTAACAAATCAAAACATATTTTAGATTTTAGATTCTTCAAAGTAGCCACCCTTTGCCTTGATGACAGCTTTGCACAATCTTAGCATTCTCTCAACCAGCTTCATGAGGTAGACACCTGTAATGCATTTCAATTAACAGGTGTGCCTTCTTAAAAGTTAATTTGTGGAATTTCTTTCCTTCTTAATGTGTTTGAGCCAATCAGTTGTGTTGTGAGAAGGTAGGGTTGGTATACAGAAGATAGCCCTATTTGGTTAAAGACCAAGTCCATATTATGGCAAGAACACCTCAAATAAGCAAAGAGAAACAACAGTCCATCAGTACTTTAAGACATGAAGTTCAGTCAATCCGGAAAATTTCTAGAACTTCGAAAGTTTCTTCAAGTGCAGTTGCAAAAACTATCAAGCGCTATGATGAAACTGGCTCTCATGAGGACTGCCACAGGAAAGGAAGACCCAGAGTTACCCCTGCTGCAGTTCATTAGAGTTACCAGCCTCAGAAATTGCGGCCCAAAATGAATGCTTCACAGAGTTCAAGTAACAGACACATCTCAACATCAACTGTTCAGAGGAGACTGTTTGAATCAGGCCTTCATGGTCGAATTGCTGCAAAGAAACCATTACTAAAGGACACCAATAATAAGAAGAGACTTGCTTGGGCCAAGAAACATGAGCAATGGACATTAGACCGGTGGAAATCTGTCCTTTGGTCAAATGTTTGGTTCCAACCGCTGTGTCTTTGTGAGACGCAGAGTAGGTGAACGGATGATCTCTGCATGTGTGGTTCCCACCATGAAGCATGGAGGAGGAGGTGTGATGGTGTGGGGGTGCTTTGCTGGTGACACTGTCTGTGATTTATTTAGAATTCAAGGCACACTTAACCAGCATGGCTACCACAGCATTCTGCAGTGATACGCCATCACTTCTGGTTTGCGCTTAGTGAGACTATCATTTATTTTTCAACAGGACAATGACCCAACACACCTCCAGGCTGTGTAAGGGCTATTTGACCAAGAAGGAAAGTGATGGAGTGCTGCATCAGATGACCTGGCCACATCACCCGACCTCAACCCAATTGAGATGGTTTGGGATGAGTTGGACCGCAGAGTGAAGGAAAAGCAGCCAACAAGTGCTCAGCATATGTGGGAACTCCTTCAAGACTGTTGGAAAAGCATTCCAGGTGAAGCTGGTTGAGAGAATGCCAATAGTGTGCAAAGCTGTCATCAAGGCAAAGGGTGGCTACTTTGAAGAATCTCAAATATAAAATATATTTTGATTTGTTGGTTACTACTTGATTCCATATATGTTATTTCATAGTTTTGATGTCATCACTATTATTCTACAATGTAGAAAATAGTAAAAATAAAGAAAAACCCTTGAATGAGTAGGTGTGTCCAACATTTTTACTGGTACTGTATGTGCTGGAAGCCTTTTTAAGCCTTGAATACACTACATGTTTGCATTTCCTGCTGAGCAGGAAAATTCTCAGCAACAAAAGAGTGATCAAATTAATATTGTACATCTGTATCAACACTGGCTGCGTCCCAAATGGCACCCTATAGACTCTGGTCAAAAGGGAATAGGGTGCCATTTGGGATGCATCCACAGTCAGTTTGAGGATGGCGGGTGGGGAGAATGAAAGAGGAAACACATGGCATGATGTGTATGTTACCGTGGGCAACAGGGCTGGAGGACCCAGAGAGGACCGATGGTGAGAGACAGACAGGTGGATGGTGACACAGAGAGGAGGGATGGTGAGAGACAGACAGGTGGATGGTGACACAGAGAGGTTGGATGGTGAGAGACAGACAGGTGGATGGTGACACAGAGAGGTTGGATGGTGAGAGACAGACAGGTGGATGGTGACACAGAGAGGAGGGATGGTGAGAGACAGACAGGTGGATGATGACACAGAGAGGAGGGATGGTGAGAGACATACATGTGGATGGTGACACAGAGAGGAGGGATGGTGAGAGACAGACAGGTGGATGGTGACACAGAGAGGAGGGATGGTGAGAGACAGACAGGTGGATGGTGACACAGAGAGGTTGGATGGTGAGAGACAGACAGGTGGATGGTGACACAGAGAGGAGGGATGGTGAGAGACAGACAGGTGGATGGTGACACAGAGAGGAGGGATGGTGAGAGACAGACAGGTGGATGGTGACACAGAGAGGTTGGATGGTGAGAGACAGACAGGTGGATGGTGACACAGAGAGGTTGGATGGTGAGAAACAGACAGGTGGATGGTGACACAGAGAGGAGGGATGTTGAGAGACAGACAGGTGGATGGTGACACAGAGAGGAGGGATGGTGAGAGACAGACAGGTGGATGGTGACACAGAGATGGAGGGATGACAGACTGGAGGGAGGTGTGATGCGTTCATCGGGAGAGTGTTGGGTCTCTCTCTCTCTCTCTCTCTCTCAGTGTGTGTTGGTCTTTGAAGTCACAGCTCTGACGAGTCAACCCCAGATGTATTATTCCCCAGCTCTGTCACACTGCTCCTCTCTCAGACACTGTCTCACACACACAAATTCAAATGTGTGTAAGTGTGTGTGTGTTTGTGTGTCTGTCTGAAAGTGCAGTTTGGTGTTTGCTATTGCAATTTGAGTGTATCATCTGTCAGTCAACATTGAGTGAGTTTCTGTGGAGTGTGTGTGTCTGTGTGTGTGTGTGTGGGGGGGGGGGGGGGGGGGTACTTTTGTTTTAGTGTAAGTTACTGTTATTGAGTCTATCATCTGTCAGTGTGTATGTGAATCAGTATGTGTGCTAGCAGAGTGTGTGTTACTGCTGGGTTTGAGAGTCCCTGGCAACAACTCATTCTCACTCCAATGTAGCGTTCTGGCATGTCTCCTTAGAGCAGACACACATGTCATAACTGAGCCTCTTACTGAGAGAGATGGAGAGAGGGAGAGAGAGAAGGAAGTAATGGAGAGAGAGGATGGAGAGGTGGAGAGTGATACGGCTCTGGCCATCAGTGCCACTCCTCACTGTTGTTCCCGACGATCACCACGGTGACAGTGACATCACCAGGCCTGTCATCAGTGCTCCCCATCACCCCTCTGACACACGCTCAGACGAGACTTGGCTCTCCTCTCCTCTTCTCACTCTCTCCCTCTTCTCCTTCCCTCACCATTGTTCTCTACCCTCTCCC